CAGTGCCTCCTTCTTCTGCAGAAGTCCTAGTGGCGCAATGGTTAAGTGCTGGGCTGGGGATTTGGACCCACGCAATGGCTTCAGACTGGTGGTCTGTTTCCTAGGAAACCCAATGCGACAGTTCTACAGTGTCATGTGGGGGCTCCATCGGTTAGAATCAGCTGGGTGATGGCACCCAACAATAACGACCTCCCTGGGTGGTATAATGATTACAGGAGAGCTGCTCTGTGGGAGAAAGACAGGGCTTTCTACAACCGTGAAGAGTGAGTCTCAGAAACCCACTGGGGCAGTGCGACCGTGTCCTCTAGGGCCGGTGTGAATCAGCAACACCTCGATGGCAGTGGGTTTGGATCTGGGGTTTGTTTGGGTTTTCTAACCCTGGTGAGAGTTGGACAGGCAAATTAACATGATCCATACCGCCATCATCATTAATATCGTCTACCCAAGAGTAGGCTTCTGAAGCGGAATTAAGTCCCAGACCCTGTGGTTGTGGGGGAGACCATGGTCTTGGGCACTATCTCTCTGGCCCTTCATCTGAGCTTCTGTGCCCCCCCCCCCACTGAGCCGGGTCCCCCCGCCCACCCACATTCTGGCCCTGCTCTTCTCTGGGTGTCTGCTCTGCACCCCAGAGGGGCCAGCTGGGGATCACACCGCCAGCAGCTTCTCCACACACAGCGAGTGGGTGGGTCTGAGCCACCCTGCACAAGGGTAGCCTGCCCGCCGCTCACTTCCTTCCCAGGCCCCTTACCTAATGATGCCAATGCTCTCCAGGGCCTCCTCCCATACCGCACCTGTGGGAGACACAGTGTCTCATGCCTCCAGCACTTTGTGGGTTACAGCACCTGGCGGGGGTGGGGGGGGGCACAGGACAGCAAGGTAGGGACTGTCTCAACCCTGGCCCGCACACAGTGCCAGACACATCTGGGGCCATTTGCACCGAGACTGAGGAGTGAGCCAAGTGACAGAGCCGGACTGCAGAGTGAGGGCTGCTCTCTGCAGGAAGGCAGACAGCTCTGTCTACCCCACCTGCTTGGGCCTCACCTGGGCAGGTAGGGGAGCATCTGGCCTAGTCCCCACCTGCCTCACTTCTCTACTTCTTTGCTTCTTCAGGCCCTCCCTGAGGCAGAGCACCATGCTGTATGCTCGGATAAAGGCTGGAATTGATGCCCAGCAGTCAGGGGAAATGCTGCAGCATCAGCAATGGGACAAGCCCCTGCCTGGGACCCGAGGGCAACGCGAGCCAGCCAGTCCAGCGGAAGTGGGTGGGAGCTACGGCTGAGAGGCTCCCAGGACAAACAGGATGCTGCCCAGGACAAACAGACAGGCCTTAAGAACAGCAAACGCCAGGGCGATGCTGAAAGGGCAGAGTGGGCTCTCCATGACAGCCTGTAGGACTCACCATCACGCCCCTCCTGTCCGGACAAGTGGGGGGCCTGGTGATGTGGTGCTTACACATTGGGCTGCCAACTGCAAGGGTGGCAGTTTGAAACCACCCGCTGCTCCTCAGGAGAAAGTTGGGGCTTTGTACACGCCAGTCAAGAGTGACCGTCTTGGAATGTCACAGGAGCAGCTCCACCCTCCCACGGGGTGGCTGTGAGGCAGCATCGACTCGAGACGGCAGTGAGCTTGGTTTGGGAGAAGCAACCCAAGGGCCAGGGCAGCTGGAAAGGTTCGATGGGAACCCAAGGAGGCAGTGAGCTTCTGCTCATGGAGGAGGGATGGTAGGACACGGGGCTGGAAGAGTTGGTCAACTTGAGGAATATCCCTAATGCCATCACCTCGCAGGTGTAGTAACAGTTGAACTGGTGTGTGCTCCATGCATAGTCTCAATAACAAGCACAAAATATTAATTTTTTTAATGTCTGGAGGGGAAGCACTCCCTCCCTTGGCCAGCAAGCCCCCAGCTCTTACTCCAGAAAGGGCAGTAAGAAGAGTCCGTTCAGAGTTGGACTTCCGCTTGAAGAAGGTGCCCACGCCCCTTCTCTGGTCACAAGACCTTGCGCCGCCCTCACCTGGCCTACCCTCCCACCGGTGCCGGGGTCATGCAAGGCAGAGTGCATGACTCGGGCCTTACCGTGGGGCAGCCCAACCTCAAAGGCGACCTGCAGAGCCCCCTGCAGCAGGAGGAAGAAGCTGCTTGTGTACCACACGGCGCGCAGGAAGTGCCTGGTGCCCCCTGGAAGAGGGGCAAAAGGTGAGGTGCCAATGAGACACAGGCCACAGGCCTTGACGCCCTCCTTGTCCCCTCACTGGTCACTGGTGCAGTCTCCCACTGGAGGTGGGGGTGGTTTGCACGGGCTCTTTAGGAGAAAGAGGGCAGGATGCCTGTCCTGCCTCCCACACTTGCCTCTCCATGAACCAGTTGCTGGCGGGCAGAACTCACCACCTACTTGCCCTCCTGCCCGGCCACCTCTTACACCAGGTTCGATTTGTGGCATGGTCATGGTTAGGGAAGATGTATGACTTCCTCACACAACGGGGACCTCGGCTTGGTTGGCAATGGCAGCCAGGTATAGCAAGACCTCACACAAGGCTGGTCACCTGCGTTGACATAGGCCTGGGCTCCCTAGGAGTGGGCCCCAGGGGGACAACCCAGTGAGGCCCAGGTGGCAGAGTGGGTTAAGTATTGGGCAGCTAATCTAATGGCCCTGCTTGGCACCCTCAGCTGCCCCAAGGGAGAAAGAGGAGGTTTTCTGCTTCCCGTCGAGAGTGACCGTCAAGGGCAGTTCTACCCTGTCCTGCAGGGCCACCAGGAGTCAGATTTGACTCCAGGGCGGTGTGTTGAGTGGGAGGCTTTGGAAAGCCTTTCTGGACAAACTTTAAACGTTGCTATCCTCTCCACTGGTGGTTTTCTTCTTTCTCTTCTTTCATGAGGTTGCCATTGGCGGAGCTCATAGGCCCATGGACAACTGGACATTGACTAGTGAAGCGTGGAGAAGAGTTGATGCCTTTGGGTAACGTGCTGGTGAAGAAGAGGGAAAATACCCTGGTGTTTGCCTCGGCAGCACATACAAATTGAAAGTATCCTGCACTGCTGGAAGGAGCCCAACCAGAACGGGACTCGGAAGCATTGTTGACGCTTCATCTCACCTCCTTTGGACATGTGATCAGGAGAGACCAGTCCCTGGAGATGGGCATCATACTTGGTCAAATGGAGGGGCAGCAAAACGAGGAAGGCTCTCAAGGAGACAGAGTGACTGTGGCTGCAGCCGTGGGCTCAGACACGGAGGGTTGCGCGGCTGGCGCAGGACCGGGCAGCGATGCTCGGTGCATCCGGCTGCCATGAGTTGGGATCAGCTTGAAGGGCCCAGCAAGAATGAGCTGGAATCCCAGGGTAGACAAGAGCTCTCTATCAGGACGTGAACCGAACGGAGGGGAGAGTGCCGTGGGCAAGGTGCCCTGGCGACAGGGACAGGCACTGGACTGCTCCTCGTGAAAAGACCAGCGGGGGAAACAAGGTGGCACCACCTGCACGGGCTCCAGGTGAGTCGGGGTTGACTCGAGAGTACACAGCAGCATCCGGGAAGTTCCTGGAAACGGGTCTTGGCCGGAATGTTGCTGTGCTGGGCAAACCGGCGGCGGTACAAAGGCCTCATCACGCACCCCAAGGAGGAGTCTGTACGCTGGCACACACCGCCGGTGTCTAGCTGTTCTTTTAGCAAGCGGAGCCCAGGGTTCTGAGGGTCCTGACCCCTGCTCACCTGGAGCAGGCTTCTCGCGGGCCAGGGATCTGCCTACCTGTTGCAGGGCTGGCTGATGGGGCTTGGAGGAGCGGCAGCAACAGCAGGAGAACCAGATAGACAGCGGACAGAGCATTGTACCTGAAGGAGACAGCTGCGGGGCGGGGTGCCCCACATGCGAGCTGGACCAGAGGGACCAGGTAGTCCCCTCCCCGCCCCCCCCCCCTCCTTGAGAAGGTGGGAACACCAGCAAAATGCAGATCAGCTGACATGCCATTACGAGGGTCTGGCGAAATCAACCTGCCGGGATTAGGCGATTGTTCTTGCCAAGTGGGCTCTGAGTTTTCAGGGCTGTGTGTGTTTATAGAGGAAATAAATAATTGTATCGGCTCATCTCCCCAATCAGTTGCCTGCCTGCGAAATTAACCGTGTCCCTGGCTCTCGGTCTGATTGGGACCTTTCCTCCTTCTCCTCTCTGAAGTGCGATCTTGGTGGGTGCTGTGCCTTAGCCACACACAAGGCAGCTTTGCACGCCATTGGGGAAAGAGGAAGGGGGGGAAGATTAGCATTTTCCAGTGAACTGGAAAGAATATGTCTGATTTCAAAATGTGTACTTAGGAAAAAAGGAAATGCATATCCAAGTTGATCTATCTATCTACCCACCCACCCACTCAGGGGTTCATTTTGCCAAGCCGATCACAAATGCATTTTTTTGGTTTTGTTTTGCAAGAGGACAACTTTATTTATGATTTTCCCCACCCTTTCTCTTAGAGAAAGCAAATATGAAGACCCAGGCACACAAAAAGGGGAGGGCGGGGGGATGGTTAGAAAATGCATCCAGAGAATTTAATATCGCACGGATTAATCAAAGTGCCTGCTTTTAAGCTCCGTGCCCCCATGGAGGAGTGAATTAATGAGCAATTTATGCAATGAATTTTTTTTTCTTTAATTATCTAGGTATTTCCGATGAACATGCTTCTTCGGACTCGAATTCTCTAGGTAATTCTCTGACATTCCAGCTTCCCTGTGCATGGTTAATTACAGCCTCCGGTCGTTCGGAGAGCTGGTCTCAAGGTAGTCAGGGAACTTAGTAGCCCCCCCACACACACACCTCATGCAAATCAAAGCGGTTGCACGTCTCTGCACCCCAACTCTCTTGCCTGAATCATCTAGGATGCGGGGGGGGGCTTTCTGGAATCATCCTCAGGCCCGTGGTTCCAATACTGCTAGGTTGGGGTGAGGGACAGGCTTTGATGAAAACGCAGGTGTCTCACCCCCACTCCAGGAGACTAGGGGTCAGCAGGGTTTGGGGAAGGACTGAGGCCCGGGCAGGGGGTGGTCAAGTCACCGTGAGGCAGGCATGGCTCCCATCACCCCCTGGGAGAGGCCCGTGTGAAGGATAGGCAGTCACAGCACTGCTGTGGCTTTCTGAGGGCAGTTGGTGGACACCCCCCACCCCTGGCCCCAGGTCCTCCGCGGCATCACAAGCTCAGCTGTGATTTAGAGCTGCAGGTGGTGTACCAGGGTCTGCAGGAACCACCTAGGTGAGCCCCAGCAGTCTCTGGGGAACTGGGTGTGGTGCTGGGGTAGGGGTCTGCTGTCCTCCGTGGTCCTGGATCCCAGGAAAAGAGGCACAGGTGGTGGTTTTCTTGACATATCATGAGACCAGCCAGATCCCCCTCTTACCTATGGGCCAGGTCACAAGGGACCCCACGATAGGCAGGTGTCAGGGCTGGGTAGCCTCTCCTCCCACTTGGAGCAGCCTTACCTGTGAGCAAGGAGGCTGGTAGCAGCACTCGGAAGAGGAAGCCGGCAGTCCACTCGGTGGTCATAACCTCTGGCCACACAGCCTCCACCCTCAGGCTGCCTCTTCAGGCACTGGGGTCTCTGCAGCCACTTCCTGTCTTCTCCTGGGCCACCTCCTACCCCCAGGCTCTTTTCAAAGGCAGAATTCTGGGAGGAGGGGCCCTGGGACCTGCCCTAACACACTGGGTCAGTGGAAAGATGGCTCCCTTCCCGGCCATTCCCCTGGCCGGGCCATCGATCCCTGGACACCTCTCTCCACTTTGCCTGAACCCGGGGTCCAGGAGGCGCCGGGTTCCCAGAAGGCTGGGCTGAGTTCCCAGCCTAGGCCCGAGAACTTTCCAGGCCCTAAAATGTCAAGTTCAGGAAAGTGTGTGGGCTAGTGGCCCCCCACTTTCAGCCCCCCCTCGAATGTCCATTAGCAAGTGGCTTCTATCTCCTGAGCGGGTAATTGGTTTCTAATTAGTTCCATTCACATTCCCTTGCAACTTTCATTAGACACAGGGTACAGGATGTGTGTGCCGGTGGCCAGCTAGGACCCCGGGCCCAGAGCCTGCCGGAATGGACGCCCACTCCCACTCTCCTGGCCTTCTGGAAACTGTCCCCCGCTCACAACATCCCTAAAACACTTCTCCTATTGCCCCCAGGTCCACCACGAGCCCTTCATTGAGTGTGCTAAGAACAGCTGCCGTCTCCCCTGTTTCAGACCTTGGAAAGGAGGGACCATGCAGGAAGGGGGGCCCGTGATGGGTCCCCACAAGTTCTGCGGACAGCCTGGGGCATTTGTGGGTCTGCAGGCTCCTGGTTCCTGGTCGGCCCCACCCATCCCACACCGGAGGGGAGCACCGTGACACTGTGCTCCGATCTGCAGACACACTGCCTGACCTCATGCCTCCCAAACAAGCCAGCCGACAAACTAACTCGCCCGCTCATCCCTGCCACGGAGCGACCCCGCAGGACAGGGAAGAATGGTGCTTCTGGCTTTCCAAGACTGTCACTTCTCGTTTTCAGAGGCTCCCTTCATGTTCTCGGACTCTCTACTTTGCAAACATGGCATCTTATTCTTTATTTTTAAATTGATAGAACATTCGCATGTCATACACTTCCAGCGTTCAGTTGCTTTTAGAAAGAGCTGTATATTCATCACCGCAATTACTTCTAGTGCGTGCTCCCCCCTCCTGCATTCATTATTTGCTCCCCGTTCCCCACAACCTGGCCCCACCACCACATCACCCAATAAACTATCGTTTTAATTATTGTCTCTGTGCATCCACTCCTTCTGTGTTTGTAAATCTTAAAGGTTGCACAAAGCCTCATCTTTCTCCAGAGGAGTGGCTGGTGGTTTTGAACTGCTGGCCTTGTAGTTAGCAGCCCAACGCGTAGCCAGGATGACATCAGGGCGCCTCCACTTAATTCGCTCCAGGCAAAATGGGAGACGGGCCACAGGCCACTCCCATGTTGTAGACTCACGGGCTGTTGGGGTCGAGGTAGGCCTGGGTGACTGAGCAGACGAGTGGGGGAGAGCAAGGTGGACACACCAGGGTCCAGCAGTCCTCACGGGCACCCTGAGGTGGCAAAAATAGGAACCTCCAATACAGACCCCAGAAGCCAACTTTGTACAGTCCTCCAAAGTGTGCCCCCACCTCCACCCCCACCCCACCTCCCCCGAGAGCTTCGGTTTGGCTGAGTGACGCTTGCGCGAATGGGCCAGCGCAGAATTGCTCTGAACATGGAGACAAGCTTCCTCCCTGAGAGGTGACCAGAGTCGCAGGGTGGTGGGTGCGGGTGGCAAGGTTGGAGGTTCAAATCCATCCAGTCAGGCCTCAGGAGAACGTTCTGGCCATCTATGAGAAAAGTCAAAGCCACTGAAAACTCTGTGGGGAGCTCTGCTCCTACACGCCTCCTGGCTGGTTCCCATGAGGGACATCCATTGAGAACTAGAAGCATGCTCAGCAGCCTGCCCCTTTTCTCAGTGGGGATTGCGGGTGACCCTGGGGCTCCCTGGTCCTTACCCCACCACCTTCAGCCCCCCTGTACTATGTGTGTGTTCTGAGAGAGCCACCCCCTCGCTGTGCCCCTCGGGGGCTCCTCACCTCCAGCCCCCCTCCAGGATGATCTCGGAAACCAGGAGAGACAACAGACTCTTGGACTTCCAGAAACTCCTGCATGGGCCAATCAGAAACGCCAGCTCCCTGGGAACTTGCCTTTCCCGGGTTCAAGGCCCCATGGCCTCAGTGCGAGCTGGGAGGACTCCTTGGCCTGCCTTCCAACGAGCAAAACCGAAACTAACAGACAGAGGCCCCAGGGCTCACTTGTAAGAAGGTGGCCTCACTCAGCTAGCTCCCGAGGGGACACGCATTTCCGTACCAGTTCTGGCTGCCCGATCCCTCCTCTCGTGTGTTGAGACCTCAGGGGTGCTGGAGTGGGACTGTCTCTCAGCAGGGGCTTTCAGTGGCTGGTTGCCTGGAAGCAGATTGCCAGGCCTTGCCTGTGAGGCACCTGGGGTGGCTAGCGGTCTGGGCGCTTCAGTAACTTGATTTGCAGACACTTGCCTGCAAGTCTCCTAGGAAGGCCTGGGCGTGCTCCAACGGGGGGAGGGGGTGGTGTTTCCTGGGCACCCTCTCTGCTACGACCTGCCAGCTTTCTCCTGAGAAGGGGCTGCAGGCAAGTGTGGATCCAGCCAGACCAGGCGGCTCACGAAGGCCTCCCCTCCTCGCTCAGGCTTTGCTCTACTTAAGCCATGATTGACACCGGAGAACGGACAATACACTCTAAAAGGGAACAGAAAATACGCTCTAAAATGGAACGGAAAGGGAAGGTCGTCCGGGCAGGCAGGCCAAGCAGAGCAGCACTGTGTCCCCTGGGGAATTGCCCCCCCTTCTGCCCATGTGACTGCCTGGCACAGGACACCTGGGGGTGCTGCCCACTCCGCCGGTAATTGAGTGCTCACTGCCGATGTTCCAGGAGGCTGGACAAAAGGAGGAGCCCCGGGAGGGGCAGTGTGCAGGACCGGCAGGGCCCTGCACCCAGCCCGCTGTGTGGGCCCCGGGTTGACTTGTGTTTGTTCTCACTTCCACGCGGCTCCCTCCTGTTTCCCTCCAATCACGAGGGGAGGACAGGGTCTCCCACCCTCCTGTCAAGGGCTTGATCCGGCTGGCTGTGTGTGACCCTGTGTGACAGGGCAGCCGCCACGGGGGGCTTCCTCCACTCTCGCCATCATTATGGAAACTGAGTCTCAGGGCTTTTCCCCCAAGGGGAGGCTGGTGGGTGGAACCTCCCCCTTTCCCTCAGCTGCCCAGCGCTGAGCCACGGCACCTCCTGGACTCCATGCACACCACCACTGAGTTGATTCCTGCTCACAGTGACTACCTGGGGCAGGAAAGCACCGCTTCCTAGGGTGCCCGAGGTCGTGCAGCCTCCTCTTTCCCCCCAGGCGCAGCTTGCGGGTTTGAACCGCCAGCCTTGAGGTTAGCAACCCAACGTGCTCTTGAGGGAAACGAAGATGCAGAAGAATGAGCCCAGGCTTATACGCAGATCCAGCCTTGTCAGAGGTCAGCAAAGCTCTGGGAGGCAGGAGGTTAGAGGGAAGGGCTTGGGCCTGTGGCTGGGGGTGGAAGACCCCAAAACATCCCACAAGGAGGCCACTGTGGGTGAGAAAAACAGCAACTGTGCGTGGACAGCGTGGCAGCGGCTGCTTTGCACAAAGCCATCACCCCTTCCCTGCCAGGTACTTTTCATAACTCATTAACATGCCCCACCCTCTTGAAGAAAGGTCATTTCATCCATGCATTTCTGATCCCAAACTCTAAACCAACAGATCATTCATAATCCGGTGAATTATCCCTCTGGAGCCCTCTTTCTCCCGGGGGCCAGCGGCCTGAAGATACCAGAGGCGGTCACAACGGTGGGGACATGAGCATCGGCCCCTGTCGGGACACAGAGGCACGCCTTTAACCGTGGCTCTGCACTGGCTGGGTCTCCCCAGCGGCGGCCTGGGCCCCCGGGTGCCTTGGGGGCGAGCTGCGTGGGCCCGGCTACGGAGGAGGAGCCAGCTTGTCTGACCAGGGGAGCCTGGGCATCCAGGGTGCCCCCAGTCTGTTGCCATGGCTGTCCTTGTGACGGTGCAGGGACCTGTATATTCATCACCGTGCAGGGGGACAGCAGTGGGGAAATTCCTAGAAGCGCAATTAGCCTGCTTTTCAGAAGGCTGTTTAGCATGTGTTTATAATGTTCCTGTCCTGCTGGGATGGAGGGCTGAGGCCAGGCCATTTAGACCAAGGAGCAGGAGCTCACAAGAGTTACTTCTCCCACCCCCACGCCCATGCCCAACTGTGGTCTTCAGGGGGGAAAAACGGTGTGTGGGGGTGGGGAGGGGTCTGTAATAATTCATTCGGAACTGCTGGGCCCTGACTGTGTTCTCTATGGTGATGGATTTGTAAAGAAGCAGGGAGGAGGGTAACTGTTTGATCTCCAAACTGGTTTCCTCCTGCTCCATTTAAAGTTCATCTGTTGGCTCTGATGCAAGGCAGAGGGGCCAGTGCGACTGCAGGGCTGGGGTGTGGGGAAAGTCGGGCAGCACATTTCCCTGGGCCCTCTCTCCATCCATCCCACTCAGGGCTTGTGTGGGGCACCTGCAGGCTCCGGTCCGTGGCTCCTCATGACACCTGGCCTGCCCGGCATGTTGTGACTACGGCACTAGAGGCCCTGCCCCTGGTCCTTGACCGATCTAGGAAGGCTTGCCAACAGGGTGAAGGGTCTTCCAGGGGCTGGGTGTGGAGAGGGGCAGTCTCTGAGGAGCTGGACACACAGGGAGGGAGACTTTGAAGATGCAGCTCGTGGACAGAAACTCAGAGGGAGGTGGCCTTCTCCTGGAGGCATCTCTGATGCATCTTCTTGTCACACCCCAAGAGTGTCCCAGCCAGCACCCCCAGGCGACACAAGTCTGCAGGCATCAGTGGTCATCATGATTTGGGGAGGCATGCTATTGCCACTCTGAGGTGGGGGTGGGGGGAACGAATACTCGTCCCCA